AGACAAGAAGTGAAGTTGGTGGACATGTTGCCAAGGGGTCATTCTGCTAGGATTTTGTGCAGAAATACCCAGTGTTTCTAATCAGACATACACATTTTCCCACAGCTTCAGTGTTTCAAGCTGAAAACTTAGCACACCTCACATTAAAATTCTGTGATCTCCACCTTTGTGTATATTAGTGCAGAATTTACAACTTGTAGAACTCAAACAATCTACATAGAACACAAATCTTAACATCCAGTGCACAAGATTGCTGTGGTAATGGTTCATGATGTGATTACTGTCATCTTTTGCCTCTGTATTACTGTATCCTTGTAATCTTTTTCCAGTGCTTAGGAAATAGTGTACATTAACCCACTTTCTGCTGTCTATGAGAAGTAGAATCCGTATGAAAAGAAGCAAAACTTCAGATGAGATTTGTATGAACTCCAAAATAATTACTTGTATAAACCTCACTGTGCTTAATGCTGAGATTTTGCACATTGTCTTGCAACCATTTAGCCAGTGAAATGGAATGCTTGTCTTGATGAGAAGAAAATGTTTCTTCTGGGTTTATGCCTCTCTGTCATCTACATTAGCACTTACTAGTTTACGCTGCATCGCATTTAGGGTGTGACCAATGTGTATGGATCCAATGTTCCTGCATGATTCTCAAAAAAGGCTCAGGCTCCATCCTCAGTACTGATATGAATGTAGCCTCTGAAAGGAGTCAGTAACCACTGGAGGAAAGAATACTGTTTTAGTGCTGAGTAGGCTGAAACGTTCAAAATTAAGGGTTGGAGGCAGCAGGTAATGATGTACTGATATTTTATGAGCTTAAAGGATCAATAAACAAAGTTTTTGAAAGTTGTATTTGTCAAGGTTTTCCAATTTCATTTTCATTTGAGTTAAATACACATAATAAAAATCCAACAATTTTGCTTTTTAAAAAATGTTTAGTAGCCCATGTCTTGAGTCCCCAGAATGGCAAGTTCTTGTAAGAGGAATGTAAGTCCACCTTCTGCACTTCCCCCACTTCCCTGGGACAATGATGTCTGGAGAGGAGTGAAAGTCCATGCTCTGTGCCTCCTCCATTGTGCCTGGATCAGCTGTACTGGCAAGAAGAGTGTAAATTTGTGCACATTTATTCCTCCATTGCCCAGGGACAGCAATGCCAGGGAGAGGAGACCAGAGAAACCGACACCTCCAAGGAAAGCCTTGCAGTGATAAGGCTATCTCACATTAGAAATCTAAATCTTTCCTTCTTTAAGTTGTAGATACTGATTATTATGGCAGAGTAACTAAGACAGTAACTTCTCCTAGACCTTTATGGACTCAAAATTTTAATAAACATGTTTAATAAAATACACAACCTTATATAATGCCCTTGAAAAAATGTCACAGTGCATAATTTATCTTCCCATAGTTAAAAATAATGAAATGTTAACAGACACCTTTGTGATTATTTATCTTATACAAGTTAGTTTACATCAAGGTCCATGAATTTCAGTAAACTATCTGGTGACAATGTGCATATTTTAAGTTTCATTCTTTATTCTGTATTCTACAGTGACCTGTTGAAGTCATTTCATTTTTAAAAATTTCTTTATTTGTACAAGTTTGTGGTACATAATGAATACATTCTTTTTCCTAATCATAGCATTTCTGTTTATGGTGAAAAAATGTAGCATCAGGGAAATTTACAAATCCAGGTTTTGTCCCTACACTTTCATTCTACTTAACAGATTTTCACATCCATCTTTCATGATATGCAATTTGAAAGTAGACTCACATCAAATTATATATCACCCACATTAGCTCAATTGTTTTGTTTAGTTTTCATGATGATTTAATTGAGAGACATTAAAAAAGATGAAGGTATTTAGAAAACATAGCAGGGTAGTGAACAACAATAAATAAGACTCTCTAAGGCTTCTTTTCCAAAATCCAGACTCTGGAAAATAACAGCTTGGGAAAGAAATGAAGGGGTGGATCCCTGGGACCCAGGAAGCAACTTACAGGAGAATTTGAGCCCAGCAAGAAGTTGAAGACACAGAACACAATGTGGAAAAGGGATGAAGTAATCTGCTTTATCCCCAGAGCCTGGCGTGTGGCTCAGAAGTAAGGAAGCCTGAATCACAAGAAAGAACATACAGTGAAGGCAGAGAACTCCAGAGGCCTTCAGGGAGAAACACAGCAGTGGAACGCATTGTCAGATGCTGTGTGCTGGAACAGCTGGTGAGGAACCCCAGTCCAAGTGCCTGTGATTCCCTGCAGAGAGCAGGCAAACACCATTCCAGGGAAGTCAACTGAAATTGGGACAGAGCGACCACTGGTTGGCTTCCCTTCAGTGTTCCCAGGGTGAAGCTCCCACAGTAACTGGGTGAGAGAGCCACAGTCACTCAAGAAAGAGATCCCTTGGTGGGTTTAAACTGAAGGACACAGGCTCCACATCCACAGGGAGAAGTTTTGGATTTGAAACTTGCAGAACTGATCTCCCCATCCTAATCCTAATCTCAAGTATACTATTCACTTAGTAAAACTCTTTTGTTTAAAAAAAAAACTCATCTTTGACTGCAGCATGGGGGCAGGGGCTAGGTGCCATGGCAGGGCTCAGAGAATCCCTCTTGCCTTGGAGGTCCCAGGCTTACAGGCAGAGAGCACAGTGGCTCCACTCCTGGAGAGAGAGTTGAAGAAGCAGAAGGAATCACTGTGCCCACAGGCTCCCATTAGGTCAGTTCCTGCAATAGTGCCCAGCAGCCTTTGAGAAGACCCTTACCAGCAGAGATCATGTATTACCTCCATTGCTGCTCATCCTCCTTACCCTCAAGTCCCTTAGCTGTGACCTATGGTTCAGCCACTCCATGTTCAAGGTCTGCTACCTGGTCCACTTTCTCCTAGAATGAATCCTTCCACAGTCTGTGTCTTGGTTTTACTGGCTGCCATGTGCCTCATCTGTTATAGCTGCTGTTGAAAGTGTTTCTGTACCACTGCGTCAATTCCCTGCTTACAGATTCAGCACACAACCCTAGTGCTCTAGGTATCTACAGGTTGTCTCATTAGCTTTACAAGAAAGCAGAATATGGCAGGAGAAGTGCCAATATAGGTCTCAAAGATCTAGACTTTCAAATCCTTCACACCTGGGATATCACATGTTTGACAGCATGTTTTTGGTCTGTGATGTTTTATCCTTATGTGAGTAGCAGCACTGACAGGTGCTTTTATTGTACATTCCTATAATTGTGGGTGGTCTTGGGCTTCTGTGTGCTCTGCCCACTCTGGGTCCCTGTGGTCCAGATGGGCACACACTAGCGTCCTTACTGGTGCTGTCTACACTCACCATGATCAACCATCCTGGCTTGACACAATGCCAGTCTCATGGCCACCTCTATGAATCTTCCTTGTCAGAATCTCCCACCTCCCCAGAATATCACTGGCCCCTCAGTCCCTTTCTTGTTTTCCCTTTCTCTTTTACTCCCTACCTTTAGTGGGAGCACCTGTCCATGACAGGACTTGCTTTTGCACTTATCTAGAATGTGAAGAGATTGCTGATGTGTGAGAGCCTCACTTTTTACATCCTCCTTCCCTGTTCAGCAGGTGAGACCAATAAAGATAGAGACAGAATATTGTCCATAAGCCTCCAGTATTTTCTTCACTTTACCTTGAAAAAAAGTTACAGATAGTTGTTGCTTTTTCACCTGGGCATCTGGGCTCATCCTTTCTAAACTAACTTCACTTCTTTACCTGTGCTGTTGCTTTTCCCAGCCAGCCCAAGAGGGAAGCCTTCTCATGTTCCCTCTACATGCTCTGAAAGGAGAAGCATCATGTGTTCACATAGACCTACCAGTCCCCAGCCAAGTGAATAGAAAGTATTTGTGCAACTCATGGTAACCATGCTTGCTTTGAAAGGTATTTGAGTATTTTTAATGTGTTCTGTGTATTTGTCTTTGTGTGTTTCTCTGTGTATATAAATACATGAATATATTCCTGCCCTTTCCCCATCTCTCTCTTGAGAGAGGATTCCACTATGTTGTTCAGGCTGGCCTTGAACTCACTATGGAGTACAGGCTGGCACCGAACATTCAGTGATCCTCTTGCCTCAACCTTCTGAGTACTAGGATTACAGGTGTGTGCCATCACAGCCAACCATGTATGTATATTTCTTCTAAAGAAGCCTTGTGGAACATGTTCTGGTTTTGAGGTTTAGGAGTAGCTAGATATAGGAGGTGCACTGCAGTTTTTATTCAACATGGGGATTGCAGAGTGACCAGCACGCTGACCTCCATTATAGTTCAGAAATGACACAGGAAATCACTGGCACTCATCCTTTTCCAGGAGCTTCTTTGTTCCTGGGCATGCAGGATGTATCTTTCAAGAATGCACAGGATGACTTCAGGACTGTCACTAGCTTGGTATTTTTCCTTCTTGCAAACAAGACTTTCTCCTGACCCCTGCCACTCAAGATCAGCAGGATTGTCCTTCCAATCAGAAGCAATCCCCTCTCTTGGCTGAGGGGGAAGGGAGGTGGACCAGGAAGAAGGCAGAATTGGAGGCAGCTCATCTGAAGAGAAGGACTGCAAGGATGCACTTCTGAAACATCTTACTGCTGTTCAAGAGCTTTTATTTCTAGTATGATTGTTGCACAGTTATTTGAAGCCTTTAATAAATTTATAAACATAAACATTCCTCACCTTTTTATTTCCAGTTTTCATTGTGCCAAGATACATACAATTAATGTACCACTTTTAAATATGGTCTGGTAGCACAAAATACAATAAAATTTTTGTGTAGTATCATTCTTATCTATTTACAGAAACTTTAACAACTTCCCAAGTGAACTATGCACTGATCCTAAAATGAAAAATTCCACCATACCCCAATCAGCCATGACTCTTCTATGAAACATTACATAAAATCAAACCCCTTAAATAACACAAACCAACAGATAATATTTACATTGAGCGCTGTGTGCTCAGATTATCTACATTTTTCAACCTACATTCCAAACAGATGCCAAACACCTAAGGATTAGATGCTCCATCTTGCAGTCTCTTCAAGGTGTTACGAAAGTCCCTGTTCCTCAGGCTGTAGATGAAGGGGTTCAGCATAGGAGTGACCACACTGTACATCAATGAGGCCACCATGCCCTGGCTGGGAGAATAGGACACAGTTGAACCAAGGTATACTCCAATGCTGGTTCCATAAAATAAGCAAACTACTAACACATGAGAACTGCAGGTGGAAAAAGCTTTATACCTCCCACCTAATGAAGGGATTTTGAGAATGGATGAAACAATTTTACAGTAAGAGAAAAGTATTAGTAACATAGGAATAAAGCCAAATATGGCACCAACAAAGTATGTGACTATGGTTTTGATTAAAGTATCAGAACATGAAAGGCTAAAGACTTGAGAAGGATGACAGAAGAAATTAGCAATTCTCACATCTTTGAAGCAGGTAAATTGCAAGACAACTACATTGTGCAACTGGGAGTCCAAAATGCTAATAAATATAGACACCAAAAGTAGATAGACACAGAGCTGAGGGTTCATCATGGCTGCATAATGCAGAGGGTGGCAGATGGCCACAAAGCGGTCATAGGCCATCACAGTCAGGAGCATGTCATCCATAGTTGCAAAAATGAGAAACAGAGACATCTGTGTGAGGCAGCCCATGTAGGAGATGACTCTGCTATGAGTTAGGATGTCCACAATCATTTTTGGGACTGTGATGGAAGTGAAGCAGATGTCCACGAAGGACAGGCTTGAGAGGAAGAGGTACATGGGGGTGTGGAGGTGGGGGTCAGAGCTGACAGCCAAGATGAGGAGCAAGTTCCCAAGCACAGTGACCAGGTACATGGACAGGAACAGGCCAAAGAGAAGGAGCTGCAGTTTTGGGTCCTCTGAGAAACCAGTAAGTTGGAATTCTGCGATGTAGGTTTGATTATGTGTTTCCATCATGTTTGAATACCTTTTCCAAAAATTCATTAGAAAAATGAAATGAATAAATAGTGCAAAATGTCTCTATACTTTAGGAATCAAGTATTCACAAGAAAAGTATCCCCACATGAAATCCATAAGCCTTAAGAATATCAACCCATTGTGATAAACCCAATCCTCAAGAACTTTTTCATTATGAAGTTACTTGTTACCCACATTCATCCATTCACATCTGATTTACAGACGCTTTGGTAGCAATGTTAGAACTGTGGAGTTTAGAACTATATGACCCCAGTAGTGTACATCCAACTCTTCAAAAATAAAATAATTTTATTCAAAGAAAATTAAGAGACACTCAATATAGCTTAATTTATTCTCAGAAAATGATACAAACTCCCTTGACTAATGATGTCTATTGGCATAATATCCAAGGCTGTGTTATATGAACATTAAATTAAAGCTAATTATTATAACCAAAATTTATCTCCCTGAATCAGGTATCTCCCAGAAATTTTTCATTTGGGGATTTTTCTTATTTCCATCTAAATTGTAAGGGCTCACACCGTTTTTGGTATGTGTAAATTATTTAAAATGTGACCCTTATATTTGCCTAAAATTTTATGAATTTATATATAAGTTCCATATAATATGATGACATAATAACAAGTAATATGGCTGTAGTGTATGATATACATGCCAATAATTAAAAATAAAGTTAAGAAGGACTGGCTTTGGGCATTTTAAATTTTATACAAGTTTACTTAACACTCCCTACAATATCACCATATAAGACAGCTGTTTGTTATTTTTCTTGATTTTGTATTCTAGTGTAGCATGCTTTATTGTTTTTCTAATCACAAACTGTATGTTCAGGATAATTTCACGGCCGTGGTTCAGCTCAAGTCTTGCTAATTCTAATTGACATATTTTTCACATCAGTATAGCCACCAAAGCGTCTGTAAATCACATGTGAATGGATGAATGTGGGTATATGCTTAACTTTTATCTTAGCTACGGAATGTTGAACTCCATAATGTGTCATGCCACAATGTAATTTATTTGGGAAAAATGCAAAGTAGAACTAATGCAATAATGTTAACACACCTGAGAACTCATGCACAAAAGAAAAAGCACATGAAATACTATAAACACACCTGTAACTAATGTAGTATCTTCTTATATGTAAAATAAGTATAATAATCACATAACTTACATGGTTGCTGTATGAAAGTTTTTAAAAATTATTTGCACCCCTGGTGATTATAATTTTGTTGCAATCAAACAAATAGATAAATATATGATAGATATTTTTAAATATCCAGACAACCTAGACTTAGACCAATAAATTTAATTGTATTACCACAATTTTCAGTTTTTTTCATCCTTCCTTATATCAGAGTTGAGAACAACTGTCTTAGAGTATTTCTTTCCATTCATAAAATGATCCATTAATATTTGTCTCTCTATACTAATCTATAAATAATTAACGTTTTTAGAGTCCTGAACAATTAGCTATGAAATTTGAATAATTGATATCTCTCTATGTGTCCTTTGTCTTGCTAACCTGCCCTCAAAGAACTCTGTTGTAAATGTTGTGTGTCAATTAAAGTATTCAGGTTAAAACTGATTTAGAAATGCACAATTTTCTTAAAAACTCAACCAGAAGTACCTAAGTTTCAAGTAAATCGTGTACAATACAAGCCTATTTTCCCTGAAAGATAGTAAGTTACAGATTAAAGTAGATTTAAGTTTCTCTTAACTAATCCAAAGCATTGCATGAAGACCCTTCATTTAATACCTAAGTGTAGTATTATGACAGATTTCAAGATTCCTGTTCATCCATCCATGTCACATAAGTGAAAACCTATGTAAAAATATCGGTGTGAGATACTTCTCTGATTTCTAATAAATAATATGTGTAAAATTTTACACATTCTCACTACCAAAAGTCAGTCCGTAACACTTATGACATTTTATTCTTGAGGAATACCTTAAAAACACCACTGCGGTCTGTCTAGTAATGATCCCTTTATGAGAGAATTCAAAGAAACTTCATCATCTTATTGGGAAAAACATTTGCATTTCGCTATAACAGAGGAGACTGTTGCTTAGGAAGAGACCTGGAAATGAACCTGGGTCACTGAGCTGCTACCATTTGCACATGTGTGACTCTGTCCTCTTCTTTACGCTCATTCTGCTTAATGCAAATAAGGAAGACAACCTTCATCTCCAAACCTGTGGTGACTGAGGAATTTTGTAACTTAAGTTCATAGTCACTGTGAGTTTATATTTTTAAAATAAATAATTCTATCATTCAAATAGGAAGGATAATAATAAGCACAGTAAAATAAATTCAGATCGCAATAAATCCTGAAAGGGTATCAAACACTATAACACCTCTCAGCCTGAGGTATATACTCACCTGATCCTTACTATTTGACTTTTTAATTCATGAATATCTTCACCATGTCCTTGAGCAATGCATATAAACTCTACCATAAAATGAATTTCAGGTCCCATGTATCATGATAAAGACACAAGCCAAAGGTATTTTATCTTGTCACTATTTATAGGATATTCCAGAAAGGAATGAACATGCAGAAACGAATGTATCAAATGCATTTATGCCATGCTGATTAAGGACACTTATTGTGACTTAAGGAAGAATCCATTCAATATCTAGCATAGTTTTGCTTTGATTCTTTTTGTGTCAAACAAGGTGTTGGTTCTGAGGAGTCAGATGTAAATGGCACTACATCATTCCTTTGTGAACACATACATATAATTATAAAGACACAAATAAAATGACCTGCTACAGAAGTAGAAAAAGAATAGCTTTAGATCATAGTACATAATGGGTATGAAGATTATTCTTATAATTCATAGTGATGAAAACTAAACTTTTTTGCTTTGATGTTAGACATATTAATACCAGATGGAATATATATATATATATATATATATATATATATATACATATATATATATATTCTTTTTAGTGAAGTTGTTGCAATTACAACATAACAACAAAAAAATGCTGCCTCAGAGGTATTGAAAATCTGCCCTGCACTGAGAAATGATAAATGAAGCTAAAAGATTAAATATTAACCTGGCAGGTGCTGTCCAATGTATTGGTTTTTTATTGTTTCCTTACTCACAGAAAGAGTTAAGCAGACTCAGAGGTCTTAACTACAAGTACCTTTGAGGTACACTTTAGACTCTCTCATTTCTCAAATGAAAATGAATTCAAGACTTGACACAGCCCCATTTGAGACTGTGTGAAGTAATTGGATGAGTGAAGTATGAGAGAAGCTGTAAGAACATCTCACACTAGTGGCAGATGAGAAATCTGTGCTGAATTATAAAGTGGGTACTCTTTCTATGATCCACATCTGCTTTTCATATGTTGGGTACAACTGGTGCCCCACACTGCTCTACTTTCCATATCAGGAATCCCAAAGGAAGGTCACAGTGAAACAGGGCATCTTCCTAGTGACAGGGAAGTGACATGGTTGCTTGTTTCATTAAGGGGAAAAACTCCAAGGACTAATGCTCCTGTGATGCCTATGTCTGAAATCTGATTGTCCTATTCAAAGGTGGTTTAACAATGGACTTAACAGTCCATCATAGATTCATTAAAATAGCAAGCTTTTTTATTTCCTATAGGGAATAACAGGATGCGTATTTATAATTGTAGGAGACAAAGCAGAGACTGCTCATTGCTCAGTGCCTAGAATACAGAAAGCACTCAGAACCTGGTCATGATGCTATGCTCTCTGTTCTCCTCCTCTACATTGTCATCATGACATTCATTATAATCTCAGCATGCTAGGAAACACTGCATGACATATTTTCTGTTGCTATGAGCAAGTCACCAATGAGGAATAGGGAAACAAAGTGTTCAGAAAGAAAGTTAGAAACAATAATTATGCTTTCCCCACTAAAACCCAAAACATACAATTTCCATCCCTCACAACAAATAGTTTTCATAGTTGCACCTTTCCATTGTCTGTCCAAACTGTCACACTTGTCATTATTAAGAGGAAACAATAAAGGATGCCTTCTGTACCCATGAGGTCCCTTTTCACTTACTGGGTGATGCTGTTTCTGCGCTGGGTCATAGGCAAGGAGACCAGATCCAAGATATAAGAGCCTCTTATATCTACTACCTGAGGAAGCATCAATCTCAGTGCTCAGAATTGAAATGAATACATAGTCAGATAGGAGCTTGATGATGCACAGAACCATTGAGCCTGTGAAACTGGCGTGAAGATCACTGGACTGAAATCAAACTGCAGGGCAAGTTGATTATTGACAGCTATATGATTTTGAGGGTTCAATGGGCAGACCGCATAATTACCCAAATTGGCCCATGACCTCCGGTGGCCTCTAAGGATTTCCTAACGCTAAGGAAGAAATAGGCAAAGGAAAATAATTATTCACGAGAGGTTTTGGGTTCTTCTTCTACTCCAATTAAACTGTTGTTTCCTAATCACATCTATCATTTACATATATTTGCGCTTTTATTTCTGCCTTTCTTTTATTTTTATAATCATATATACAGAAGCCATATTAGCTATACATTTCAATAGCCCTAATCACATTCACATGTTTTGAAACATTTGACATCATACAATGTTAGGATCTCTTCATTTCTAAACCTGAAATTTTACACTGAATTTGAAAATTCTGTTTATGCCATCTTCATTTCACCGTGAAACATTATGAGAAATTAAAGCCATGAAACTGCAAAATTAATACCAATAGTAAGACTGTAATTATAGCTCTTCTTACTAGATTAGTTTCTCTTTGCAACTATACTCAAATGGATGTCATAGGTGCTGAGGTTAGACTGCTACTGTGGGATCTTTCCAGGGTACTTATAATGCCCTAGTTTCTCATGATATAGATACAGGTGGTCAACACAGGGAGATTACATTGTCTATCACTGAGGCTTTTGCCCCATTTTTGGGTAAAATTGATTAAGCTCAGTAAACATTTACTGGAAAATTTATTCCATAAAATAAGCAAATATTTGACAGTTGGAATCCGTTGGTATGGTAG